TAGCTTTTATATAATAATAAATATTTATTTTAAGCTTTTAAGAATTTAAATCTAAGAATTCTATAAAATAAATTTATCTTTTTTAAGATTTTATTTTATATCTTCGATTTATTATACGCGTTTTCTCTTTTAAAGAATAATTAAAAAGATAATTAGAATATTAATTAAATCGCTTATTTTTAGAATATTATTTATTTTATATTTATATTTAAAAAGATATAGTAATAAATATAGATACTTTTAATAAAGAATCTTTATTAATAAACTCTTAATTAATTATTTAATTTTTTAATTTTAAAAAAATATTAGATTAATTAGAAGATTTTAAAAGTAATAAATTAAAAAGTTTTTAAAGATAATTAATTAAAAAGTTTTAGAGATATTTAATTAGAAAGTTTTTAAAGTAATTAATTAAAAAATTCTAGAAATAATTAATTAAAAAGTTTTAAAAATAATTAATTAGAAAGTTTTAAAGATATTTAATTAGAAAATTTTGAAAGTAATTAATTATAAAGTTCTAAAAGTAGTTAAATAGTAAATTTAAAGAGTAGTTTACTAATAAATTTAATTATATTAGAAAAAGAAGAGATAGACTTTACTATAAAAGAAGCTTAAGATTAAAAATTTCTAATATATAATAAAAATAATAATATTATAATCTAGCGATAAGTTTTATAATAAATTTATATAAATTTATTAATTTTAATATATAAATAGTTAGTGCGATTAGAAGAAAAAAAAATAATTCTTATAATTCTAATTATTATAATAAGAAAAAGTTTAAATATAATTTTCTCTTTTTTAATTATTATTATAATTATCTAACTTTCTAAATTAGACGAGCTTATAAATATATTATTAATAAAAATAAAGAGTTAATATATATATTCGATAACGATATATTTAGCGATAATAATATAACTTTATTTTAAAATTAAACTATCTCTTAAAATCGAGATATTATTTATAAAAATAGAAATTTTAATAATATTTAAAGTAAAAATATAAAAATCGCGATAATTAAAGAATATCTATCTTTATAAGAAAATTATTAAAAAAAAATATAATAAAAAATTTAGAAAGAGAAGATTTAATATACTTTTCGCGATAATTATAATAAATAAAAAAATATTTTAAATATTATTAATAGTAAAAGTAGCTAGAAAGTCGAGTAATAAGACTTTTAAAAAATCTATTATAAGTAAAAAAAATATAAATAAAAGAAAAATATATTACTAATTATATATTTAAAGTAAGAAAATTATATAGATTTTATCTAGATAATAAATTTAATTTTATATATATTTCTAATTATCTTTCTAATTATAGTTTATTAACTATTATTCTTCGTAAAATTAAATATTTCTAGAAATCGACTATATTATTAATTTCGAAAGCTTTATTTTAAAAATTTATTTAAAAAATTTTATTAGATATAATAAATAAATTTAAGAATAATATTAAATATTATTAATAAAGTTTTATTATTAAGACGATATAGAAAATAATAAAATCTTTTTTATTTAATAATTTTTTAAATAAAACTTTTTATTATTTTTATATAAAATTTATTAATAATAAAATATAAATTCTTAACTTCTAATAATTTATAATAAATACGTAATATTATAAATTAAGAATATATAACTTTTATATAGATTTTTAAAATCGTTTAATATTAAGTTATATATAAATATAATAATAAATTAAAAGCTTATAATTTAATTTAGATAGACTTTTAAATTATTATAAATAATAAAATAAAAAACTTTATAATTAAATTATTCGTTTTTTTAATTTATAATATAATTTTTAATTATTATATTACTTATAAAAGTATATTCTATTTTAAATTTTAATTATCTTTAAAATTAATATTATATAATATATTTAATTTATAATTTAAAAAAATTATATTATATTAAAAAATTAAAATTATTTATTATTATAAAATTATTTATATTATAATTATAGCTTTAATATAAATATATATTATATTTTCTTATTTAATTATTAATAATTATATATTTTTATAAATTCTTATTATTATTTTAAAAAATAAAAGATTTTATTAAAGTTTATATATATTTAATTATTATATTAATTTTTAATTTAGAATTTTAATTATCTTTATAATTAATATTGTATAAAATTATTAATTTATAATTCTAAAAAATTATATTATATTAAAAAATTAAAATAAATTATTATTATAAAATTATTTATATTATAATAATAGTTTTAATAAAAAAGTATATTTATTATACTTATTTATTTAATTAATAAATACTATATTTATATAATAGATTCTTATTATTATTTTAGAAAATAAAAGATTTTAATTAAAATCTATTAGATATTTATTTATTATATTAATTTTAAATTTATATTTAATTTAGAATTCTAATTATCTTTATAATTAATACTATATAAAATATTTAATTTATATTTTTAGAAAATTATATTATATTAAAAATTATATTCTATTAAATTATAAAAAAAATCTATTATTATAAAATTATAAATATTATAAATATAGTTTAAATATTTTATTTTCTTATTTAATTAATAAGTATTATATTTAATAATAAATTTCTATTATTATTTTAAAAAATAAAAGATTCTATTAAAATTTATAAGATATTATATTTTTTATAAATAAAGATTTATAAATTAAATTTATAATTATTTTTTTAATTAGAGTTATCGAGTAAATAGATAAATAATCTTTAATAAGCGAACTTTAATAAGCGAGTTATTTAGCTATCGAGCGAACTTTAATAAATAATATTTAAATTTTTTATACTTTAATAATTATTAAATTAAATTTAAAAATTCTTTTTTATTTAAAAATTCTTATTTCGTTTTATAATTTTAAAAAAAAATCTTAAAATTTTAATAGAAAATAAAAAAGTTATTCTAAAATTAAATAATATATATCTATTTTTTAATTAAGGTTATTTAATTATATTTTTTTTATAATTATTAATATTTATTTATTTATTTATAATAATTTAATTAATCTAATTAAAGAGCGTAATAATTCTAAATTTATAATTAATTATATATATTAATTTAAAATTTTAAAATTTTATTTTATTTTATTTTATTTTATTATATATATTAATAGAATAAATTATTAATTATTAATTAACTTATTAATATATAATTAAATTTATAAACTTTTCTTTAAATTTAAATTTAAATTCTTTTTTAAGTTTTTTATTATATCTATTTTATTCTTCTTTATTTAAAAATTTTATAATTTTATAATATTAATTATTATTTTAAGTTTTACGCGAGCGTTATAAATTAAAATAAAAATAATAAACTTTTTATATATTACTTCTTTCTTTTTTTCTATTTTTTTTATTTATTATAATATTATAATAATTAAAAAGATAATTAGAAAAATACTTAGAAGTTATACTTTATTTTCTTTTTATAAAATATCTTTTAAATATTATTATTTATAAATTTAGTAAATATATATATTATAAAATTAATATAATAGTAATTTTATATAGTAAGAAGATAAATAATAATAGAATTATAAATAATTTATTATTAAAAATAAAAGATAAGATTTTTTATTATTATAAAGTAAAATTAAATTTATAATTTTAATTATATATATAGAAGTAGATAATATAAATAATCTTTAATAAATATTTCGCGATAATAATCTTTTAATTAAATTTTTTTATTTTTATCGCTATTAAGATCTTATAATTATTTAATTAATATTAAAAATTATAAATATAAAGCGATAGAAAAGCTCTTTTAGAATTTTGATATTATTAAATTCTATTAATATATAATAATTTTTAAAATATATAATTTATTTAAAGTTTATTTATAAAAAGTATATAATATTAATCTTAATATAATATTAATTATAAGAGATAAAGTTAAAAATATAAATAGATTTAAAAGTATAAATTTAAAGAAATAGAAAAAGATATTATAAGAGGTTAAAAATATATATTTTTATAAATAATAAGATCGATTATATTATAATATTATTAGATATTAATATATATAATTTTTTTATTTAATATTTTAAAAAGAAAATATATATTTATATTAATTATATAATTAAATCTAAATAATTAAAAATAAAAAAGCGCTATTAATAATAATAAGAGTATAATTTTATAATAGAAAGATTTAATAGAGAAGAAAATATTAAATAATTTTATCTATCTTATAATTTTAAAATAAATAAAAAAAAAAAAAAATAAGAGATAAGTATATTATTAAATAATAATTTAAAATTATTAATTAGATTATTTAATATAATTAAGTAATTTTATAAATAAAGATTATTTCTTATTTTTATAATAATTTAATAATTTTAATAGAGAATTTTATTATAATATTAGTCTCTTTAATTATTATATAATATATTATATATTATTAAAGCTAATAATTATTAGTTATTATTAACTATCTATTTTATATATATAAATATTTATATATTTTATAAATTAATAATTAATTTTTTAATTATAATTATTTTAATTTCTAATATATCTAATATTCTACTTTTAATAGATTATAAACTTAAAAATAAATAAAATAATATTAAAATATTCTTATACTTTCTAATAGATATTAAATTAAATTTTTAATAATTGTTTATAAATAGATATATCTTATAGCGATAGCTTATTTTTTTAATTTATATTTATTAACGAAAGAGCTATCGCTATCTAATTCTTATATAAAAAATATTAAATTAAAATTTTTATTTTATTTAAGATTCTAAAATAATATAAATAAATTATTAAAACTTTTAGATTATTTTAAGATCTTAAAATTGTCAGGACCAGCATAGGTACGATATTAGTATGGGTGAGGTAGATAGGATAATAAGGCTACCGAACTATGTATGTGGGAAGGAGGCATGATATAGTAGGAGATGCCTCCGCCAAGGCCCGCTAGCCATAGGGCTGAGCGGTGTGTCAAGGGTACGCTCGTAACACTACCCCCCCCTCTCAATAGCCATGGCCCCCATGGCTGGTAGACCGGAGATGCACGCCCATTGCTTGCCTTGTTTCTCCAAACATCCATAGTCCCTGCAGACCTTGACTGGAGAGGATTTGCAGAGGTGTAGCGGTAGCAGTCCGAGTCTTGGCGTTTTTCTGAAGAACATCGGATGGTTTCAATTCGTCCAAAAACACCATGTCCGAGGTTTTGCCGGATCGCATGCTGGTCTTGACTGTGCTATGCCTGCCATACCCATATTGTCCTTCAGAGATCCCGGAGATATAGCAACATCTTGCCTGCGTACCAGCAAGATTCTCCGAGTTCTTCTCCTTGCCCAGTCTTCTTGCCATAGTCCTCCACTTTTTTTTTTTTTTTTTTACCTTCAACACCTACTGGCAGCCTGGCCTGGGAGCTTCACTGTAGATTTGCCCTGTGTCTCCCATGCTCTTGCCATCAAGTCTATTTATTTTATCCTTTGTCTTATTTGATTCGTAGGCTTGATAGGGAGGTAGGGAAGAATCGAATGTGTTGAATGCCATTTGGTAGCAGGCTTCACTATGTGTGTTGTCGACATGCTCAGTGAAGAGGTCGAATCGTAGTCGTTTCGGGGCTGTTCCCGTCGCCGTTGTAGCAGGCTCACTGTGGTGGGGTGGTGTTGTCTGTCAATTTCTTTCTGATTCGCTTGCAGTACGAATGGTCCAGCGGTGCTTTATCCCTCCTGCTGTCCAGAGGCCGTTCCGTCATGCCGAAACGAATTACCCGTTTGGTGGGCTGACCCAAGGATACGATGCCTCAAGTTCCTGTCTTGACCTCAACCGGTCGTGGTGTCTTGGTCTCAAGTTAGTATCTTGACAAAGCCCTTGCCAGCGCGTTTGTTTATTAACCATTCGTCCGCTAATCCGAATGGGCGTGAGTGTGCGTTGATTGGCCCGTATGTGTTTCTCTTCGCCGGGTGTACGAAGGAGCCTTATTATAATGTCAGGACCAGCATAGGTACGATACCAGTATGGGTGAGGTAGATAGGATAATAAGGCTACCGAACTATGTATGTGGGAAGGAGGCATGATATAGTAGGAGATGCCTCCGCCAAGGCCCGCTAGCCATAGGGCTGAGCGGTGTGTCAAGGGTACGCTCGTAACAAAAATAATATAGATAAACTATATAAAACTTTTATATTATTTTAAAATCTCGAAATAATATAAATAAATTATTAAAATTTTTAGATTATTTCGAGGTTTTAAAATAATATAGATAAAATATTAAAAATCTTTATATTATTTTAAGATCTTAAAACGGGTATTTAAAGCCTCGGTACTCTTTCTATTTTTCTTTATCGAGGTTTTTTATAGATTTAATAAGATTAGATAAATAATTAATCTCGAATATAAAGTGTAAATTTAATAATTAATATATATAAAATATAATATATTAAGATTTAGAAAATCTAGCTTTTAAGACTATCGAGGAGTATTATAATATTAACTCCTTTAATTAGTATATATAAAAGAATAAGGTAGGGCTGAACTAGAAAACCTTGAATTTATATGTGCAGCCAATCATAAATTTAGGGTTACTACGCTCTTTAGTTAGACCGACTAAGTTAGCCCGCTAGCCCTCTCGAGCTCCCTTATCAAAAATTTGTGTGTAGAAGTTTTATACTCTAAAATAACCAGCTCCCTATAGATGCTATTTCTTCATAATTTCGTAAATTATAGAGCTTAGTTTACGCTTTCTAACGCTGTAAAAATAATGAAGTTTAGTCTACTATTGGTGGATAAAATAAATATTCAAATATGGTAGTTATGATAGCCATATCAGACGCGTCCGGGATCGAATAATAATCCTTTCTCCTATTTATTTATTTATGTAACTATTATTCTTCCACCACTCTATCAATTCTATTAATTCCATTAATATAAACACAATCGTCCTCGGTACCCCTCGCGGAAACGTTACTAAACGCTTCAGGCACGTACACCTCTTTTACCCGCCTCTTAGAGCCCCTATTAACGCGAATCTGTTACTGCTGGTAATCGAGGCCTTAAGCGAGCTTAACAGCTACCTACTACTGCTCATAAACGCGTTAGAAAGCCCTCAAAAAGAGCCCGAACGGATTTACAGCCATCGTCCTCCCCCTATATACTACTCGACCAGCCGCTTAGTCAATATTACCTATCCTATCAGCTCAGTAATCCACTTAGTCAGCCACTCAGCTAACCACTTAGTCTGATACTCTATAAGAGGAGGAGTAAGAGGAGGAACTATAACAGGCAAATGCGGAGAACACTGCGGAGAACACTATGGAGAACACTGCGGAGAAACCAAGCGGTAACAAGGCCACCATCGTCAAGAACACGGCTCAGCTCTCCGAGATCCCACGTCATATACTCTCCACGGTTTCATATCAAATCATCACTCAGCAAGCGGAGAACACCACTGCAACTTGGTCTATCATCCCCACTGCATTAAGGAGTAAGAGAAGGAACTACAACAGGCAAATGCGGAGAACACTGCGGAGAAACCAAGCGGCAACAAGGCCACCATCGTCAAAAACACGGCTCAGCTCTCCAAGATCCCACGTTATATGCTCTCCACGGTTCCACATTAAATCATCACTCAGCAAGCGGAGAACACCACTGCAATTTAGCCTGTCATCCCCACTGCATTAAGGAGTAAGAGGAGGAACTACAATAGGCAAATGCGGAGAACACTGCGGAGAACACTATGGAGAACACTGCGGAGAAACCAAGCGGCAATAAGGCCACCATCGTCAAGAACACGGCTCAGCTCTCCAAGATCCCACGTCATATCAGTTATCCACTCAGTCAGCCACTCAGCTAGCCACTCAGTCTGATACTCTACAAGAGGAGGAGCAAGAGGAGGATCTACAACAGGCGAATGCGGAGAACACTGCGGAGAAACCAAGCGGCAACAAGGCCCCCAGCACCAAGAACACGGCTCAGCTCTCCAAGATCCCACGTCATATGCTCTCCACGGTTCCACATCAAATCATCACTCAGCAAGCGGAGAACACCACTGCAATTTAGCCTGTCATCCCCACTGCATTAAGGAGTAAGAGGAGGAACTACAACAGGCAAATGCGGAGAACACTGCGGAGAACACTATGGAGAACACTGCGGAGAAACCAAGCGGCAATAAGGCCACCATCGTCAAGAACACGGCTCAGCTCTCCAAGATCCCACGTCATATCAGTTATCCACTCAGTCAGCCACTCAGCTAGCCACTCAGTCTAATACTCTACAAGAGGAGGAGCAAGAGGAGGATCTACAACAGGCAAATGCGGAGAACACTACGGAGAAACCAAGCGGCAACAAGGCCCCCAGCACCAAGAACACGGCTCAGCTCTCCAAGATCCCACGTCATATGCTCTCCACGGTTCCACATCAAATCATCACTTAGCAAGCGGAGAACACCACTGCAACTTAGCCTGTCATCCCCACTGCATTAAGGAGTAAGAGGAGGAACTACAACAGGCAAATGCGGAGAACACTGCGGAGAACACTATGGAGAACACTGCGGAGAAACCAAGCGGCAACAAGGCCACCATCGTCAAGAACACGGCTCAGCTCTCCAAGATCCCACGTCATATGCTCTCCACGATTCCACATCAAATCATCACTCAGTAAGCGGAGAACACCACTGCAACTTGGCCTGTCATCCCCACTGCATTAATATGGTACATCACTGCGGCCTCTGCAGGAGAAACATCGGACGATGCATATTTGAACGAATTGAAACCGTCCGATGTCTACAGCTATTTCATTATTCGAAAAATTTCCCTGCGGCAGGAGATATTGTGGGATTCACACCACTAATTGGCACGTTGTCTCCATTTCTTTCCGGTATTTCGATACTTCTTGCCATAAGGACATGGCCTTTCTCTGTTTTTTATAGGCAATTATTACGGATTAATCCTTCACACTCGATATACCTTCCTAATTAGGCCTTAGCGCGCCTCTCTTCGCATATATGTGCCTGCATACCACATAGATTAAATTAATTTTATAGTAGTGGAAGTAGGTCAAAAACGCACAGCAAGCGATCAGAGTTCGATTTGACTTAGAAAAATCCAACTCCATGAATTTAATTCATGGGCCTTTACTTATATAGTATAATAAGATAATAATATTATATTAATAATCTCTCGTATTATATAGATAAAAGATCTTTTTAAAAGAAGTAAATTAATTAATTTTTAATATTTTTTAATCTCTTATAAAGTAATAGCTAAATTATTATTAATTATATATATATATATTACTTAATAAAATATTATATTACTATACTTACTTTCTTATTTTTAATATTAATTTTTAGTCTTTATAAGTAAAGATCTTAAAATACTCTTTCTAATAATCTTTATATCGAGAGCGTAAATAATTAAAAATTTATTTTATTTAATTTTTTTCGCGATTATCTTTTTATAATTAGAAGATTTTAAAAAAAAAATTCGATTTAAAGTTTTAATATAAAGATTAAATAGATAATTATTCGACTAATTATTTATATTATTAAAAAGATTATTAAAATTTATATTATCTTTTAAATAAGTTAATTTAATATATAAATTAATATTACTATCTTTATATAATAATAATATAATAAAATTATTATTAAAAATAATAATAATTAATAATATATTATTATTAAGTTAGATTAAGATAAATAAAATAAAATAATTATAATATAAAATATTAATAAAAAAAATATAATAAGATATTAAGAAAGAAAAAAAAGAGAATTTTTATTTATAATTTTAATATTTTAAATTTTATCTAGTATTATATTAGCGAAGTTTATTAAATTTAATTTATTAAATTTAATTTATTAAATTATATTATATAATATAATAATTATATTTTTAATTATTATTATAATTATACTAATTAATTTTAAAGAAATTAATTTTTTAATTAAAAGATTTATATCTAAATATTTAATAATTATATATTAGAATTTACTTATTTTAAATTCTAGATATAAATATTTTTATTTTTAAATAAGATAAAAAAATTATAGATTTAAAATTAAATATTATTAAGAGTTATCTACTATTTTCTATTATATTTTAATTATTTATAATTATTAATATACTCGTTAATAAGAAAGATATATTATTATTATATAAATTTAATTATAATATTAAATATAATTTTAAAAATTAAAATTATTAAATATAGAGATATTTATTAATAAGAAAAGTATATTATTATTATATAAATTTAATCGCGATATTAATAGTAATTATAGAAATTAAAGTTATTAAATATAAGAATATTTATTAATAAAAAAGATATACTATTATTATATAAATTTAATCGCGATATTAATAATAATTTTAGAAATTAAAATTATTAAATATAGAGATACTCGCTAATAAGAAAGATATATTATTATTATATAAATTTAGTTTTAATATTAATAATAATTTTAAAAATTAAAGCTATCGAATATAGAGATATAATTTTTAATTTAATATAGATTTTAGAATAAGAAGCCTTTTCTCTAACTTTTACGGGCGTATATTTATATTTAAATTAATTTAAAAAGTTTTATTTTATAAATATAAAATATATAAAGTTATTAGATTAAGTATAATAGTTAAATATTATTAATTAAGCGTAATAAATAAAATAATAATTAAAATATCTTATTCTTAACTTAGAATAATTTTTCTTTTATTTATTATATATTTTTTTTTATAAAAACTACGTCTAGACTTTAATAATATTATATTTTATTATAATTATTTAAAAAGCTATATATCTTTTAATTATAAAGTAATTCTTTTTATATAAAATATATATAATTAAGCCGCTAGATATTAGTTAGTAATTTTTTTTATTTATAATTATTAAAGAGTAAGTTATATTATTAAAATTACTTATTAATTTTATTTTTATAATTTCTTAAAATATATTTAATATAGAGATTTAAATTTAAAGTAAATTAATTAAATTTAAAGTTATATAAATTAAGATTTTCTTTATTACTTAAATAAATATAATTTAAAAAATAATTAAATTCGTTAATTTCTATAATTCGCGGATTTTCTTTAATATATAGATTTTAAAGTTTAATTAATAATAATATAATTAATATATATAATTAATTTATTACTTAATTTAGATATATATAATTAATATAATTATATACTTTTCTTATTTATAATTATATTTTTTAAACTTTATATATAATTTCCTAATCTTTATCTTCGCGAAATTTTATCTTTATTTTATTTTAATTATTTAAATAAATCTAAATTAGTAATTAATAAATTATTAAAAAAAAATTTAATTTTTATAAATATTAAATTAATAACTTTAATAGATAATAATATTATATATTAATAAATTATAATTAATATTATAATTAATTATTATATTAAAAGATATAGCGCTATTAAGCGTATACTTACTTTATAAAAATAATATTATTAATTTAATTTAATTATAGAATATAAAAAAAAAAAAATTTTTTTTTTTAGATATAGATAATATTATAATAAACGAGTATATTATAATATAATTATTATAATAATAAAAAGAATTTTTTAAAAAAAAGAGTAAATTAGAAAAGAATAATATTAAATATTTATTATTAAGCTAATTAATATTATATAACTAAAATTTTATTAAAATAAAATATTATTTAAAGATAAATTAAGTTTAAATATTAATTAGAAAGCTAATTAGAAAAAGAAATTAATTTCTTTTTTATTAATATATATTATAGAGCTATATATAAACGCTTCTTTCTATATTTTAAATATACTTTAAATATTTATAATTATATATATACGCTCTCTCTTATATTTTATATATTTTAATATTCTTTATATACGCGATATATTTATTAAAGATAATCTTATTAATCTAATTAATTTCTATTTAATCTTATATTTATTAATTATAAGAAAAGCTCTTTATTTTAATATTATAATTTTATTAATTCGTTATTCTTAAATATCGAGCCGTTTATAATTTATAATTAATTTATTTACTCTTTTCTCTTCTTCTATTCTAAAAATAGAAGAAGATATTATTTCTTTTTTATCTTTATTTATAATAAATTAATTATTATTTTTATAAGATTAAAGATATTAGCTTAAAGATAATATTATTTAATTAAAAGCGAAGAATATAATACTTTAATATTTTAATATCTAAATAAAAGATATTATAATATTACTTAAATAGAAGAAAGTTATATTAATAAAAAAGATTTTAAAATTTAAAAATAATCTTAGCGCGATAAAAGATTTAATTTTTATATATAAAAGATTTAAATAATAATTAGTTTAATTAATTAAATTATTAAAGTATCTAAATTAAATTTTAATTCTATATTAATATCTAATAAAATTTATTTAATAGTTTTAAAATATTAATATACACTCTTATTAATATAGCTAGCGATTAGAATATTAATTAAATAAATATAATTTTTAATCTTAATAATTAAAATAATATAGTAATAAATAAGTATTAATATTAAAGTAAGTAAAATATATATTATATTAAATAGAGAAGCGTTAATAGCTAGACTAATTAGAGTTTTAAATTAATTAAATTAAATACTAATTCTATATTAGCGTTATTATATATTCTTAAATATATAATTATTAATTATAACGTTAATTAAAAAGAATTAATTTTTAATTTAAAATATTAAGAATAATATAGCGATATATTATTAAAGCGGTATAAGTTTTTATTATAGCGAGAAAATAGGATTTATATATTAAATATTAATCTTATTTTATTTCTAATATTTTATTTATTTATATATTTCTTTTAATTTCTTTTTAAATATCTTAATTTTAAGATATTAGTTAGATCTTTATTTAGTATAAATTTAATTTTCTTAATTAATAATACTTAGTATAAGATATTAATAAGTATATTTTAATATAAAAATAATAATAAATTTTACTTTCTTTTTAATATTAATAATAAAAAATAATAGATATAATAATAAATAAAGATAGTATAGATTATATAGAATTAATCTAAATCTAGTAACGATTATTAATCTATCTATTAAGACTTAGAAATTTAAAAATCTTAGAAGTAAATATAATTTAACGAATATACGCTCGTCGGTTTTAGAGAGTTATATATTATTTATTATTACTATAATAAGATTCTAATTTATTTATTTATAGATTATAAAATAAATAATATAATAATATATATGTCACAGTAAGCTGTCGTGACTGCATAGGTATATGGTTTTATCTATCTTCGTATCTGTTAAGGAGGTATCTTGGTAAGAATCTTAGCTTAGTATTATAAGTAGTTACTTCTTAATAGAAGAATAACCATCTTTACTATATACTACTCTTATATCTATATTTTTATATTACTCTTATAATATAATAGTAATATTATTATTTAATATTAATTAACTATCGAATAATTTAGAAGCTTCTTTATTATTATCTATTTATTTAATAATACTTTATTACTTAATTTTTTATAGCTATTCTACTATCTAAGTCTTTCGCTAACGCTCTTTTATTTATTAATTAAACTACTATCTTACTAATCTAATAAATAATTTTAATCTAATAAAATATCTTCTTAATATCGACGTCGTTTAAATCTATATTAATTAAAGAATAATTATATTAGCCTTTTAAATCGACGACTTTATTAAAATAGTATATTTATATCTTAATCTATTAAAGCCTTCGATAGTATCTATAATTCGATATTTTATTACTTATATTCTTAAGCCCTTAGAGCTATTAAGATTTTTATTTATATTATAAAATAATAAAGTAAGAACTAGATTTAATTCTTTAGAATTTAAATTATTAATATTATAGCTATTAGATTAGACTATTAATAAGCCTTTCTTTTATAAGATAGTTAGAGACTTCGAAAATCTTACTATATAGCTAGTAGAGCTACTAAAGCCTTCTTTAATCGATATTACTTTATTAAATTTATCTTTATTAAGCTCTCTCTTATTAGCTATATAGAAATCTTTAGAAATTATTTAAATAAGAAGCTTTATATTAATAAGCTTATCTAATAAATATTCTTCTTTTATATTTAAGATCTCTATAAAAATTATAATCTACGATAATATTATAGCTTCTAACTTTTCTCTCGATTATTAATAGTTTTAGTAAGATATTAATAATACTATTTAAAGAGCTATTATCTAAGTATTATAGAATCTATAAATATTATTTAGCCCTATAGACTCTATAGAATAATTAGGGCTATAAAGTCTATCTAGAAAACTATTTATTTTATTAAATACCTTCAATTAATAGAATCTATCGAATCTTAATTACTTCGATTTTTATCTCGATAAATCCTATAAAGAAGACGAGATCGTTATAATTAGTAAAGATATCTACTTTTATAGCGTTATTTTTTTTATTAAATAATTACGGGATATAGCTATTATAAAAGACTTTTCTATAATTAAAATTAATTTTAATATAATATTAAGAGATATAGCGTTATTATAATATATTATTAAATTATTAAATCTTAAGAAGCTTAATTTATAAGTAGATAATAATATTAAAAAATAATATAAGATATTATTAAGATAATTTAAGGAATCGATTAAAGTAGTATTTATTTATCTTACTACTAAGAAGTATATTCTAATAAATATATATAATAAAAAAAAGCTTTCGAGCTATATATAAGTAGTTATTTATTATATAAAATCTATTAATATAGATAATATCGAAAATTAATTAATATTTATCTATTAAGATATTATAGTAAACTTATATACTTTTATAGACTTATCGTCTACTATAATATCAATTTCTTCGTTTATTTAAGTATTTAAATTAAAGAAAGATATATAGTTTAAGATATCTAGATCGTTTTATTAAAGGTTTTAATAAAGTCAACTACTATAGTAATAATGTAATAATCAAATCTTTTAATAAGGCCTTTAATAAGATTAATTAAATATTAATCGTTAAGATTAATAGAATTACAGAAATTAATTATTTAATTTCTTTTAGTCTTAGTTCTATTCGCGATAGCCTTTTAACTACTAGAATAAATCTTATAATAAAAAATAATACGCTTATAATAATTAATAGTACGATTATTAATTAAATTAGTAATACGCTTCGTAAGATAATTATTCGCTTATTATACTATTACGCCTTTAAATCGCTAATCCTCTAAATACGTTAGATTCGATATTCTCGAATTAATTTAAATAATTAAACCCTTTTTAAGATAGAAGGTTTTTAAGATAAGATAATCGCTATTAAAGTAATAGAGATAAGTAGTTATAATAGTTATAAGGTATCTATTATAGCTAGACTACTATTTACTAAGTTAATTATAATAATTAAATAATTTATAATTAAGCTAATTATATTAATAAGAATTAATCTAATATCTTTTAAAAATATAATAAAGTATAAGAAGCTTATTAAGGCGAATTGTCTAAGAAAAGCTCCGCTGATAATTATAAAGAATAGTTATATAAAGAGGCCTATATTAACTTTATCGATATTTATATAGTTTACCGAAACTGCGATATATTATTCGCATTAAAAACAAAACTCCATAAATACTTACGGGAGGGCTGTCTGCAAGAGCCTTCCGCAGCTAAGCAGGAGGGCTGTCTGCAAGAGCCTTCATCAGAAGTCTCCTGCCACCAAGGCTCCTGTTCTGTTGAAATCATTGACTCTGACTCCACCGAGAAGTCCAACCTAGGCACGGGACTTGCTTTTCGAGGGTGGAACTATGCTCACATCTTTGTACGCCTGCAGCTTAACGCCTCGATGTGAGACACAAGCCTGGCAAGGAACACATTGTGCCAGACGCTCTTTCACGCCTTGTAAGCACCGGTAAGTCAACGCTATCCGAAGACCACTCGGAGCTTAATATCTTGTATATCTATGTTACGCAAGTAATAGATTATAGTAGCGTTTATAGTTACTCTACTATCGTAGTAGAGATAAACGAAGTCTTTTATAGTAGGCTTCTTATTAGATATAGCATAGATCTATACTAGATAAGGATTATCGGTATTATAGATATTAATGTAACGCTGATAGCTAAGGGCGAGAGCGTCGAGCTTTTTTTTTTATAATATTATAGACTCTAACCTTATTTTTTATAAAAATAAATTTATCGATCTTAAACGATTATATATACCCTAATCGCTAATTAAAGATATTCTCGAAATCGCCTATAAAGATAATTATCTAGATTTTAAAAGATCTTTTAATATAATCTTTAAATTATAATATATATAAGAATTATTTAAATATCTTTATAGCTATATTAAGTATTATTCTAAGTATCTAATATTATAAACTCGCCGCTATAAGTCTTATAATTACCTATAGCCTATAGAGAGTTCTACTCTATCTTTTCACACCTTAACGCTTAATTTCATTCTTACTATATTACTATTTAATAAGAGATTTAATTATATAATAACCGTTATAAATAAGTTTATAAAGCGAATTACTTATATCTCTAATAAATCTATCTAAGATATTAAAGAGTAAGTTATTACTTTACTAGATCGCCTCGATATAAATAATTAAGAAATATTAAAGATCTTACTATCTAATAGAGATTTTAAATTTCTATTAGAGCTATAGAAAGCTATATTCGATAAATTAAAAATTAAACTATTATACTTTATTATCTATTATTTCTAGATAAATAATAGTAGTAAACGCATTAACTAGACGGCCGAAATCGCTTTATACTTCTATTTATATATTCTAGAGAAGCCTTTAATATAGTCTATTATTCTTCTATATATATAAGTACTTCTTAATAATATATAATCGACTACTATAATTAAGTTATCGAATAAGCTCTTCTATAGATTCCCTCTTAATAAAGCTCTTAATCTTATTATATTATTCGAATTATTATAATAAATATATACTATTATTAAAGTTAAAGTTATCGATATAATAAGCTTTATCTAAATATTTTAAAAGTTTTATTATAATTATAAGTATTAGTCTATATACTTTAAAAAGAGAGATAAGATACTCTTATATCTATATAAAGACTATTCTATTTTATAATCTATTAATATTATTAAGATAAATAAAATTAATTAATATTATATTAGTTTTTTCGAGATTATTATTAAAATAAATAAATAAGTATATCGCTTTAATATATTTAATTATTAAAGAGTTTATCTTATATTCTCGATAGTATAGCTAGAACTATAGCCCGCTAATATTAATTTTTTTTATAGACTATTATTAAAAAAGCCTAATTCTATCTATATAAAAGGCGATATTAATAATTATAAATTATATAAGCTATAGTTCTTACTTAATAAACGTATTAGACGTTATAATAAGAGTTAGTTAATTAAATATCTAATATATTAGAAAGAATATAATCTTAAATATAATTAATAATATAATATTAAGTATCTAGGCGATACTCCGAAATTGATGAGAGACTACGAGACCGCTATATCAAACTATAAGACCGACCTATCTCTATCTCCGCTACTATCTCCACTATCAACGACGTATTTATAAAAGCCTTCCGCAATCGATTATGCTACTATATTATTACTACCTCCGCTATTAAAGCTACTACCTATAAAAAAAAATATTTTTTTTTTTTTTTTTTTTTTTTTTTTTTTTTTTTTTTTTTTTTTTTTTTTTTTTTTTTTTTTTTTTTATTTTTAATTAATTTTATTTTCTAATAATATTGGATTTTTTAAGTCAAATGGAATTTTAGCCCTAGCCCTAAGTCAAATCGAACTCTGATCGCTTGCTGTGCGTTTTTGACCTACTTCCACCACTACGAAATTAATTTAATCTATATAATATATAGGCATATATGTGCGGAGAGAGGTGCGCTAAGGCCTAATTAGGAAGGTATAGAGAAAGGCTATGTTCTTATGGCAAGAAGTATCGAAATATCGGAAAGAAATGGAGATAACGTGCCAATTAGTGGTGTGAATCCCACAATATCTCCTGCCGCAGTGAAATTTTTCGAATAATGACATAGCTGTAGACATCGGACGGTTTCAATTCGTCCAAATATGCATCGTTCCGGAGTGATGATTTGATGTGGAACCGTGGAGAGCATATGACGTGGGATCTTGGAGAGCTGAGCCGTGTTCTTGGTGCTGGGGGCCTTGTTGCCGCTTGGTTTCTCCGTAGTGTTCTCCGCATTCGCCTGCTGTATTGACTTCTCTTGCACTGGCTGAGTGGATTGGTGTGAGACCGTGGAGAGTAGGCCTGTTGTGTCACTGCTGCTGATGACTGTCTCCGTAATGTTCTCCGCAGTGTTCTTCATAGTGTTCTCCGCAGTGTTCTCCGCATTTGCCTGTTGTAGTTCCTCCTCTTACTCCTTAATGTAGTGGGGATGACAGGCTAAGTTGCAGTGGTGTTCTCCGCGCTTGCTGAGTGATGATTTGATGTGGAACCGTGGAGAGCATATGACGTGGGATCTTGGAGAGCTGAGCCGTGTTCTTGGTGCTGGGGGCCTTGTTGCCGCTTGGTTTCTCCGCAGTGTTCTCCGCATTCGCCTGCTGTATTGACTTCTCTTGCACTGGCTGAGTGGATTGATGTGAGACCGTGGAGAGTAGGCCTGTTGTGTCACTGCTGCTGATGACTGTCTCCGCAATATTCTCCGCATTTACCTGCTGCAGTGGTTCCTCCTCTTACTGAGTATCGGGCTGGTGTGAGACCGTGGAGAGTAGGCCTAGCCGGGCCTGTTGTGTCACTGCTGCTGATGACTGTCTCCGCAATATTCTCCGCATTTACCTGCTGCAGTGGTTCCTCCTCTTACTGAGTATCGGGCTGGTGTGAGATCGTGGAGAGTAGGCCTGTTGTGTTACTGCTGCTGATGACTGTCTCCGCAATGTTCTCCGTAGTGTTCTCCGCATTCGCCTGTTGTAGATCCTCCTCTTATTCAACTGAGTGCGAGGGTACCGAGGGTAAATGTGTTCATATTGGTGGAATTGGTAGAATGGTGGAAGAAGAATGGTTACACAAATAGGTGGAAGGATTATTATCCGATCCCGGACGCGTTTGGTGTGACTACAATATTTGAATGTTAGTTTAACCCATCTATCGCTGGCTTGGGAGGAGTATGTAGGGGAGGATGTATCCGTTTGGGCTCTTTTTGAGGGCTTTCCAACGCGTTTATGAGCAGTAGTAGGTAGCTGTTGGGCTCGCTTGCGGCCTCGATTGCTAATAGTAGCGGATTCGCCGAGGGGTGGCCTGGGGGTGTCAGTAGGGCCTCTAAGAGGCGGGCAAAAGGGGTGTACGTGCCTGAACCGGACTCTTTTTGAGGGCCTTTCAACGCGTTTATGAGCAGTAGTAGGTAGCTGTTGGGCTCGCTTGCGGCCTCGATTGTCAGTAGTAGCGGATTCGCCGAGGGGTGGCCTGGGGGCGTCAGTAAGGGGCTCTAATTGGGCGAGGGGTACCGAAGACGATTATGTTTATATTGGTGGAATTGGTAGAATTGGTAGAATTGGTAGAATTGGTAGAATGGTGGAAGAATAACAAACAGGTGGAAGGATTATTATCCGATCCCGGACGCGTCTGGTGTGACTACCATGACTACCATATTTGAATGTCCATTTAATCCACCAATAGTAGGCCAAACTTCATAATTTTTACAGCGTTAGAAAGCGCAAAGCGAGCTCTACAATTTGAGGAATTATGAAGTAACTGTATGTATCGCAAGCTGAGTACTTCAAAGTGTAAAACTTCTACATACAAATTTTTGATGAGGGAGGCGCGGGAGGGCTACCGGGCTGACTCAGCCGGTCTAACCAAAGAGCGTAGCGAACCCGAATTGATGATTGGCTGCACATACAAATTCAAGGTTTCCAAGCTCAGCCCTACCTTATTCTGTTATATATACTGATAGATATATGATTTTACCTACTTTCGTACCTGCTAAGAAGGTATCTTAGCAAGAATCTTAGCTTAGCATTATAAGTAGTTACTTCTTAGTAGAAGAACAATTATCTTTACTATATACTACTCTTATATCTACATTTCCATATTGCTCTCATAATATATTAAATTTAAGAAATATATTAAGAAATTTAATTTAAATAGTTTATAATAAATAAACTTAATTAATAGTTATAAAAATTAGATATATTTTTAAGTTAGATAATATAAATTATTAATAAATAAAATAATAAATAGAATATCTAATTTACTATTTACTCTAAAAAAGATAATATTAAAATTCTTTTATAATATTAGAAGATCGAAAGCTTATACGCTAAGACTTTTTAGAATAATTTTATCGCTAAATTATAAATATTAATATTCTATTTATAATTACTAATAATTTTAAAATATTATAATTTTTATACTATTTTAACTCTAATATATAATTAAAGTTAATATCTATTATAAAGAATTGATTAGTAGAAAAAGCTATAAAGCTAGAGATAAAATTATTAAAGAATTTATTAATTAATAATATTAAAGTCTCTTTAATTTTAAATTATTAATTATCTTATAATCGTTAATTATTTATAATAATTTTAATTTTTTTTATTAATATTAATTAGTAATAGTATAAGATTCTTATAGACTTTAAGTATATTAAAAATAAATATACTAATTAGAAACTTATAAATATTATTAATTTAATTCTTATAGAATATAAGATTTAAACTTATATATTTAGACTTATAACTAATAACGCTAATAATAATAATATACTCTTTAAAGATTTAATTATTTATCTTTTTATTTTTATAATAAAAAACCCGCTTAATATTAAAGAATTTAAGTTTTTAAATTATTTATAATATATTCTTTATATAATATATATTATTTAATTAGCCTTAAAAGAACTTCTAAATAATATTAAAATTATTTTAATAAATAAGAAATTTTAGAGAAGTTAAGATAATAAAGAAGATAAGAATTAAGTTTAAATAAATATAATTAACTTATTAATAACCTTAATAAAAATATAATATTTCTTATTATTATTCTAATTATTATATTATTAATTATATTAAGATTTAAAAAATTATTATATATATTAATATTAGTAATTAGCGCAAAGAGATTTTTTTTATATTATAAACTAAACGACTTTAAGATAAAGATATTTTAATATTAAATAAATATTAATTTTTTAAAAAAAAGTAATATTATTAGAAACGCCTTCTTAAATTTTTTTAGAATATTAAGACTTATTAAAATTTAACTTATTAGATATTAATTTACGCTTTACTTCTTTATATTAATATTATATACTTCTTAAAAAATAGATTAACTATCTATTTAAGATTAAATAATAAAAAATAATTATAAATAGAAATTATAGTTTAGACGTCTAAATAATTTTTAATTAATTTCTAATAGATTTAATATTTAATTTAATTTATTAATTTTTTTTATAAATTTATAAAGTTAATAAGTAGAGGAAAGAAGATTATAATTTATTACGTTTTTAATATTTATAATTATTTATTTAACTATATAGATAAAAAGCTTAGAAAATTAAGAAAAAAGAAGATTTCTTAGAAAAAGAGTTTCTTAAAGCTCTTAAGACGATTTATAAGAAATTAATTAATTATTATAATTAAATTTAATTAGATTTAAGCTATCTATATAAATAAGCTACGCTTTTATATTTAAATTATAATAATATAAAATTAAAGAAATTAAATTAAAAGATTAATATTAAAAAGAAGTTATAGATAAAGATCTACTAAGAAATACTTAAAAAGATATTTTAAAATTATTAAAATATTAATATAAGTAGTTAATTATAAAGAGTTAAGCGAATAAATTAACTAAATAAAAATATATTTAATTAAATTATATTCTCTAATATTAAAAATTTAGATAATAAGAATAAATATAATTAATTTTAGTGATATAAAAGAAATAATAAATTTTCTAATTATTATTCTAATTATAATTTTACTTTTAATTTTTATAAAGCTTCTTTTAATAATCTAATAAATCTTCTAATTCTAGAGTAATAAAAGAAATTAAAATTTAAATATATTATAATCGCTTAAATAACTCGTAATATTTTTTATTCTTTCGCGGGGGCTATTATATATAAGCGATATTTTTTAATAACTAAAAGATATTATAATACTTAGAAATATTATTTATTAACGATATTCTATACTCTAATAATAATTTTTTATATAAAATATTAAAAAAATAAATTTAAATAAGCTAGATTTAATTTTAAAGAAGATCTTAATATATCGAATTAGATTAAAAGAGCTAATAATACTTTATATAAAAACTTAATTAACGTTTATAATAATTATATTAATAAAAATAATAAGCTTATAAAAAGTACTTTAATAAGTCTAATATTTATAAATTTATTAAGATATATTATTAATACTTTATAATATATAAAAAAATAATTAATAGATTTATAATTAGAGAGAGTTAATAATAATAGATCTAATCTTAAAAAAGAGATTTAAAATAATTTAAAAAGCGAATTTATTTATAAATAGTTAATAAGTTTAATTAGATAGAGATAGATTTAAAGTATTTAAAAGAATTAAAATAAAGTAGAATAGAAGAGTAAATTAAGATTCGAGAGAAGGATAAATATAAAGTTTATTAAGCTTATATAATACGTTAAGATAAATATATAAATAGAGATAATTATAGAATTTTATTCTTATAATATTTAAAGATTTAAAATTTAGAATATTCTTTTATATTATAATTTTAAGAAGAAGAATAGAGACGCTTATAGTTCTAATTATTATTCTAATTATTAATATTAATAAAAAGATAAATAGCTATATTAAATTACTCTTTATATTCCCTCTCTCTCAATAAAGAAGAATAAATATATTCTATATATCTCAGTCGGATTATTCTATAAATATAGAAATCCCAATCGAGATATTTCATACATATATCATATCATGATATGATCCCACAGATATATCATACCGTGGGATATACCGCCAAGATCCCGAACCCATACTAGAAAAATGGTATGATATCCGACCCTATTCATACCATACCCGGGTACGGTATAGTATCACTTGGTATGAAATATCCCATAGGATATACTATATCTTTCCGGCCAGTAATTCTAAGTCTTAAGAATTTATTTAAGAATTTTATCGATAATCGAAGAAGTTTAATTATTTAATAATTAAGGATAAATTAATTTATTTATAAATAAAAGTTATTTAATAAGATATAAAGCTTTATTAAAGTCGTAATCTCGATCTTAAACTCGAGTTTATTTCTAGAGAAAATCGTTATTTAAAATTAATTTCGGGTTGTTATTAGAATTAAAATAATCGTCTATCT